TTCAAGCCCCAGGACTGGCAAAAAAAAAAAACAAAAAACACTAAAACTATGAAATGAAACTTTTGGAAGAAGACACAGGACAAAATCTTAGTTGAATTTATGCAAAGGATTTTTTAGATATGACACAAAAACTCTGTCTGTAAAGAAAATAACACATGGAATTTAACCAGAATTAACAACTTTAGCTCTCAAAATGACAAGAGGAGAATGAAAACAACCCACAGATCTGAAGAAAATACCTGTATAATATCTGTTAAGAAGGCATATACATACTTGAAACAATTTAGAATAACGAGATAACCTATGAACTGGGAAGAAACATTTAGACACCACATAGAAGATAGTGGATTCATACCCAAAATACATAAAGAACTCAACTCTAGGGGAAAAAAAGTCAAACTCAGAAATGGGCAAGAGATTAGAATAGACAGTTCTCAACAGACATACAAATGACTAACAGATTCATTTAAAAAAAAAAAAAATCCTTAACATCACCAACCACTACACTGAAGTAAATTATATCTACAATAAGATGCTTTCTCACAGCTATCAGAATGTCTATTATCAAAAAAGAAGAAAAGTAACACATTAGCAAAGACGTGAAGGCAATCTTTTTCTTGTACACTGTGGGTGAGGATGTAAATTAAATTAGTACAACCATTATGGAAAACAGTATGGAGAATCCTTAAAAAACAAAATCAAGAATTACCATATAACCCAGCAATCTTACTACTGAGTATTTGTGTTTAAGATTTGAAATCATTGGGTTCTGGGTGTAATTCTGTAGTAGAGTACTTGTTTATTAACATGCAACACTCTAGGTTCAATTCCAAGAGCCAAAACCAGAAATAAAAAAGCATGTCAGCCTTGTTTGTCCTCTCATGCCCATTGAAACACTATGTGCAACAGCTAAGTTATGGAACCAACCTAAGTGTCTATCAATGAATAAATGAATGAATAAATAAAACAAAGTGGTACATATACATATGAAATACTATTCAATTTTTTTTGGGGGGGGGGGGCAGTCGTGAGGCTTGAACTCAGGGCCTGTCCCTGAGCTTCTTTTGCTCAAGGCTAGTACTCTACCACTTGAGCTGTATACAGCACCACCTCTGGCTTTTTCAGTTTATGTGATACAGAGGAATGGAACCCAGGACTTCATACATGCTAGGCAAGCAGTCTACTACTAGCCACATTCCTAGCCCCTATTCAATTTTTTTAAAAAGAAGTTCTTTCCAACATGGATGGAACTGGAGACCATAATGCTAAGTGTGGTATGGTAAACAGAGAGACACTGCTCCTGTTCACATGTAAAAATCTAAAACAACTGAATTCACAGAGACAGAGTAAAATGATAGATGGTTTCTAGAGGCAACAAGGTGGTAGGAAGATGACATCTTAATTGAAGGCAAAAAGCCTCACATCAATGAATAATTTGATTCTTTTTCTTGGAAATCTATTGCACAATGTGGTGAATTTGTGTAAATATATCTAGTATCTGAGTATTTTGGATTTTTAAATTGCTGAGTAAATTTCAAATGTGATTATCAGAAAAAAAGGTAAAAAAAATGGAGGTAATGAATGTTATTACCATGATATCATCATTCCATATTGTCATCATAAATATAAGTAGTCAATATGTAATAAAGGATGCCCTCATATTATAATTACAGTCAATATATAATGAGTATCCAGGATATAAAAGAACTTTTTTGGGGGGGGGAGGGGGTCCAGTCATCGGGCCTGAACTCTGGGCCTGGGCGCTGTCCTTCAGCTCAAGGCTAGCTCTCTACCACTTGAGCCACAGCGCCACTTCCAGCTTTTTTCTTTTTGCTTATGTGGTGCTGAGGAATCGAACCCAGGGCCTCAGGCATGCAAGGCAAGCACTCTACCACTGAGCCACCTTCCCAGCCCTAAAAGAACTTTTATACTTAATAAAAACCATAAAACATATAATCTCAATAATATGAAAACCTAAACAAGGTGAAATAACAGTGAAAGAATTCAGAACAAGGGTTGCTAAGGGCCTAGAATGAGGGGAGACTGACTGCAAAAGTGTGAGGGAAGAAACAGGGTGATAGTGATGCTTTATAACTTGAATGGGTGGCGATCACACAACTGTATAGCTACTAAAATCGTCAAACTCCTGAATTTAAAACATTTTGACTTTAGTATACAAAAACTGTATCTCAAACTTGTTTGGATTCATATAGTATTTTAAAATTTTCTACACACTTACAAACTACATCTCCTATTTGCGATTACATTCTTGTCAAGTTTCTGAGAATATACTGATAACACTAAAAAACAAAAGGGTGGAAAAGAGAAGGAATCTACGTTTGGTTTCAAGTTTTGTGTGTATGTTTGTGTGTGCGTGTGTGTTGGTCCTGAGGTTTGAATTCAGGGCCTCTTTACTCTGTTGCTAGGCTATTTGCTCAAAGCTGGCACCCTATAACTTAAGCCATGCCTCCCCCCAGCTTTTTGGTGACTGATTAGAGATAAAGAGTCTCACAAACTGTACTGTCCTGGCCAATCCCAACATAGAGCTTCATTATCTCATCCTCCTGAGTAGCTAGGATTGTACTTATGAGCCAAGGGTACCTGGCTAGTTTTTCATCGAATATTAAATTTAAAAAAAACTTCTTTAACCTTCCTAGAAACTTTCAGAACACAGAAACTTTATCTTATTGAAGTCTTAGTATCAATTACATTATCTCCCTCCAGAAAAATCTTCATTTTCTTTTCTTTTGGATTTTCTATCTTGGACATCAACATCATTAACATTCAGTCATACAGGATAGCTATCTGATACTATTTGCTCTTACCTTACATCTAAGAGGATATTCTTTCACCAAATGTACTTTCCAAATAACTTTCAAATGCATAATTACTTTCTAACTGCCTCAATTTAAATCTTTATTAAAATGGCCTCCTGTCTAATCTCCCCACTTCATCTGTGTTTTGTTTATTTATGCAATACTGGGTTTAAAGGCAGGGACCGTACTTATTTGATCTGCTTGCTCAGCTGGTGCTCTATCACCTAAGCCATGCCTCCACCCCTGCTTTTTGAGGGTGCTTTAGGAGATGGACTTTATTGAATTATTATTATTTTTTTGCTTTGGGCTGGATTCAAATCACAATCCTCCAGATCTTAGTCTACTCTTAGAATCATAAGGGTGAAACTTTTCACTTCAGGGAAAAGTAAGCACTGTATAAAGGTACCTTTGGGTTAAGATAGACCAATGTTTGATGCCTATAATCTCAGCTATTCAAGAGACAGAGGCAAGAGTATAAAGAGCATCTCAACTCAATGATTTCACAGATCTGGTACAGATTCAGAGATCACTTGCACAAACTACCTAGTAAATAAATGATAAAGCTGATTATACCAATAATCCTGCAGAAAATCAGTATTCCATGGTATAAATATAAAAAGTAAAGATGGGCACTGGTGGCTCATGCCTGTAATCCTAAATACTCAGGAGGCTGAGCTCTGAGGATCATAGTTCAAAAGCCAGCACACGTAGGAAAATCCATGAGATTCTTATCTGCAATAACCTACTCAGAAAAAGCCAGAAGTAGAGCTGTGCCCCAAGTGCTAGAGTGCTAGCGTTGAGCAAAAGAGCTCAGGGACAGCACTTACGCCTTGAGTTCAAGTCCCACTATGAACAACACAAAAAAAGTAAAGGAGTTCAGTGAAGTAAATAATGCAAAGTAAATCAAGGTAATTGGCTTGACTTAGCCATTATACAAGTTCTACATAATAGAAAACATGTTGTATATAATTATATATAATTTATGATTAAAGAATAAAGAAAAGTAAAATTTATAGATAATATTCTTTTACTTAGTATTAATTTAATATTCTTAGTATCAAAACACTGGTTATAAATTGTAACAAATTACAGATTGTTGTTTAAATACTATCTTAAATACTATCTTAAGATTTGTAACCTACTTGCCAAAGTTTTTATGAGAAAGTTCTGTAGTGTGTAATGAAAAGGAAACTAACAGCAAAGACACTGGAAGATAAAGCTAGGTAAGACCGAAATTCCTGTAGTCCTAGTTATGCAGGACAGAGGCAGAAAGATCACTAGAGACCAGTTCCACCCTAGTCTAGGCAATATAGCAAGGCCCATCTCAAAAAAATAACAAAAGGAAAAGAAAAAAAAAAAAAAACAAAGGCAGATGGTTCTACAGATCTACAAAAGTGATTGTTACTTTAGGCCACATTTTGAATAAAATCTCATACATATGCCTGGTTCATGAAAAACAATCTAACAAATACATATAATCCATTTGAAAAGTTGATCATACTAGGTCAACACCAAATCAAGATTAAAGACATTCAGCTAGTTTCTTTAAGAATGGTATGGCATTGCTAATGAGATAAATAAGAAACAAAACTACTCCTAAGTTTCAAATATTCTATCATATATTTGAAATTGATTTACCTATTTTAGAGGTGATACCATAGTTGATTTATACTTTAGCTAGATTCTGAACATCTTCTCAAAATGATAATCAGGATCAAAAGGGAAGAGAAAGAAGACAAAGGAAAGGACAAAATACAGGGCACTTAGAAAGTACAAGGTTTATACCTGGAACTTGGCAACTGCTGTGGCATACCTTTTTTGGAAAGCCACCTCAAAATCTTGTGACCTCTCTTTCCTTACTTTTTTTTCTGAAAACAAAGAGATTTCTTATGTTCTCTTGATTTTATATATTTTCCCATTTTTAAGAAACTGAAGAGCAGAATTTTAAAACATGGCTAGGTGATATTTTAAATCTGGGATATAGAATTTCATGTGAAACTTGAGATTTGCACCTCAGTCTATTAGAACATTTCTTTTTTTTTTTAGAACATTTCTAAAAATAATAATCAGGACATAAATTACCAATGCGTCTTTATATGTGAACTAGCTGTTGCATGTAGATTTATAGACTAGCATTAGAAACAATATTCATTTTTAAAAAGACATAAATAGCTTGCACAGTACCTTTTGATAAACAATGGAGCACACGAGATCCTTGACAGAAGATAAAGACAGTTCCTGGGCTTCGATGGTAACATTCTCCCGTGTGAGGCCAATCTGCAGTAGAAATGAAACTGTATGCACTGAGCCTCTGGAGTTGGTGAGTGACGGTGCACTGAAGCTTCCATTAGACAATCGGGCTGAGAGTCCCGTCTTAGGACTTGAACACGGAGAAGGAGTTGGCAGCACAGCAGAAACAGTTGCAGGTAATGCAGACTTCTGGGCTGATGGAGGGGAATTATTTGCAGACATCTGCCTTTCTTTACTCTTCAAAAATAGGTGTCAATTCTTTTTAAGTGGTTATGAAGAGATTTTCAAAATAACAGCAGTAAAAAAAGTGTATGCACTTCTGTATTTAGATGAAAGCTTCTGTTTTCCTTCTAAGCCACTCATACCGATGATTACAAATTCTATTGCTGTGGGTCCAACACACAAAAGGTCCTATTTCTTTTCATCAGTCCCATCAAGAATCTTGTCTTTAGAATCACAACCAGAGACTTGTAAAAGATTTTACATCACTGAGTTGTCTTCGTAAGAACAGTATAAACATTGCTTATTTACTCAACATCTCTTGCCTTCTTTTAAGTCTGTTCTCTCACTTTTTTCAGAAAGGACATATTGAATAAACGTTTTCTGTCAAGATGAAATTCTCCTTGTTAAAAAATAGTGTTCTGGATTAATCTATTCAATGCTTACCCTTCAGTTCAATGATTTGATGGGACACTTTCTAAAAAAGCTACGTCTTAAATAACTCTCTCAAATGTCCTCACCTTCATTTTGGAAGGTGAACTTGCCTATGATGAAGTAACAAGCTTTTAAAAACAGTACAAGCATATTTCATTTGATGAATGGGTCCACTGAGAAAAGTTGCTTTCTGAAATGTTGACAGCCTAGAAGGAATTTTAAAACAGATTTTAATATTTTATCCTCAACATTAGTTAAAATTAAGGATCCTGTAATATTTTTAAAGTGGTAAGTTTTGGTAATATGTTTATAATTAAGGCATACATCCTAATAGGAGCCATTTTCAACCAAGTAATTGCAATTAGGTTTTGACTACAGGTGTAATTTGAAAGGGCCTTCTGCTTGAAGAAATCATCTTGCCTCTCCTCATGGATGTCTGAAACCTGAAGAAAAAGTATTTTTGAAATTTTTTTTTTTCTATTCTTATGAGACAGGGTCTTGATTAAGTTTCTCAGGCTAGTCTCTTGGGCTCAAGTAATCCTACTGCCTCAGCAATTACAGGCGCATAATTTATTGTATTTTAAGTCAAATACTTACTTTAGATCAAACGCTTTTACTCTACAATTATAAAACAGAGTTAGAACAAAAAAAAAGGGAAATAGAAGGGACAAAAAAAAAAAGCAAAGCAAAAGTGACGTTGTTAAAGAGACAAATAACTTTCAGAAGGGTAAGGAAGTAGGACAGGGGACACAGTGCACGGTAATATGGCCAAAAAGTGTGAGTAGTGACATATACGACAAGGACATAAGATCTCATTACAAGCTTGTGGGTTTTGGGGGCAGCAGTACTGAGGTTAGAACACCGTGCCTAAACACTTGCTAGCTAGGCACGCTACCACCTGAACTTTGCCTAACTCAATTTTGTTTTAATTATTTACAAACAAGGTCTCCCACTCTTATCTGGGCCAGCCCAGACATAATCATCCTACTTAATGCCTCCTCATAGCTGAGATTACAACTGCACACCACCTCACTCAGCTTTCTGAGTTGAAATGGGGTCACATTAGTGTTTTTGCCAGACTTGGCCTTGAACCATGTTCCTCCCAATCTCCATTTCTTGAGGTAGTGGGGATTATAGGTGTGAGACTCTGTGTTCAGCATCATCCTTAGATATTTTTAGCATAGGTAAGAGAACACCATGTACGGTTAAATATCTACCAGTTTTTAGAAAAAACAGCTTTAGAAAGTATGGCTCATAAGGCTAAGTGACTCACAAAAGGTGGATTCTTCTAAATTCTATATAGATCCAATAAGCAATTCTAATGATGAAACAGTGATGTATCCAGTATAGGCCAGAGTAGTTAATAAAGGCAAATTAGAATGAAGATGACAGAAGAGCAAAAATATACAGATACAGTAATACAACACAAATGAGAAACATCAGAAAAAACTACTGAAATAAAAAAAAAATCAGGTATAGCTATATTCAAATAAATTCAAGCACTGTACAGTACTTGATAGTTTATAAATGTTTTACACAAAGTGTCTCACGAATCCTCTTTGCAAGCTGACAGGAAAACATCTTTCTGCATTTTTTGCAGATGAGAAAACTAAAGCACAAGGTGACAAAGTAACTTGACTAGTATCACACAGCTACAAAGAGGTGGAGTGGAAATTAGAACCTAAGTTTCATGCTTTCTTCCTCAGGGCTGTCTCTACAATAACATACTATTCACAAGAGAACAGGAACTGAGAACCCTACACAGAGGATGTTGCTAAGGTTGAGAGGTTACATAGACAGAATTGCTCAATTTTTATCTTACCTTTTCTCAAGCTTTTAAACTAAAGCTGTAAAAAGTATTGAGAACTGAAACCTAAGCTTCATGCAGCAACTACAACTTGATTTTTTTTATTTTTGTAGCCCTGGGTGGCCTTAAACTCATCATCCTCTTGCCCCAGGTTCTCAAGTGCTGGGATTTTTTTTTCTGTGAACTCAAATCTCTGGACCCAGACACAGTCCATTCTATACAGCTAAAGTGATGATCCAGTATTATCACAACAATGACTCCACTAATCTTGAAAGCTCAAATGAGAAAAGTGAACATGAAATGATATGGGTAGAGTTGCTTCAGTACTGGGCTAGAGAAGCAGATAAGCAAACTTCAGAAACAGCATATATAAACTCAAAAACCTTAGCCAAATCTGGAAATGATACACAAATAAGAACAGTAATCACTAGAGGTTAACCTAAATTCAAATTAAACAAGTCAATTCTACCACATTTACAACTTGGAAATAGATATAAATATAGACATAGTTCCTCAATCCTCATAATAACCCGCTTCATAGTTGAGACAATCAGAAGTTAAGGTGGAAAATGTATATTCTGAAAACAATAGTATTCAAAAGGTTTCCGATCAGCAGTTTTGTAAACATGAACAAATATGGGATGAGTGTCGATCAGCAGTTTTGTAAACATGAACAAATATGGGATGAGTGTCAGTATTATCCAGTAAATTTACTGCTATGTCATCTTAAGTCTTTTTTTTTGGTGGGGGGGAGTGGGAACAGTAATGGGGTTTGAACTCAGCACTTGCTAGGCAGGCACTCTACCACTTGAACTATCCTCCCCAGTCATTTGTAGCTCTACTGATTTTTCTACTAGTGTGTTGAGTTCTTGCCTGGCCTTAGACTGTGATTCTACCACCTATAGTTTCCCATGTAGCTGGGATCACATATGTGTCCCATCAAGTCTGGATTATTTATTGAGAAGGTGGTCTAACTTTTTGCTCAGACTCACCCTGCACCTATGTTCTCCCATATCTACTTCCAAAGGAACTGGAAGTACATGCATGAGTCACTGTACCTGGCTATGACACATATCTTAAGAGGACTTCCTTAGAACTGTCCTTAACTCTATAATGTTTTCCATTATATATGAGGACACAGACACAGATGATATGCTTACTAAATTTTCAGGTTGAACAAACCAGAAAAATAAACCAAAATTAAATTTAAGAAGAACGAATGCAAACCTTTGCTTTTAGTTTCAGAAAACTAAATGTCCCAACAGAGAAATGAGGAAATGTTGATTTGGAAGCCGTTCATATGAGATTGGGTTATAAATGCAAGACTCAATGTAGGCCACTAATACAATGGGTAACTTAAAAGTACTAATGCAAACCTAAATCCTTCAGATTTGGAGAACCCTTTGCCTCACTGTGAGGCAGCCTATATTACCAGTGTGCTTATTTCTATGATCCTCATTTTTAGAGCTACAGATTTTGACTGGGGAGGGGAAAGCATGCACCCAGATACAGGCAAAATTCATGTGATATATAAGTATCCTCTTAAGAGAGCAAAATAGCGTAAGTGGTCTTCAAATATTTGAGGTGTTAAGGACTGGTTTTATTCACTGTCAGTATTATTGCAGAGAACAGAAGCAAAATGTAAACACCACCTCTTATTTGCATCACAATTTGTGAGGTCTGAGCTCCTAGCATTAAGAATTGACAACAGTACTTGGTTTACAGTAAGTGCTCAAACTGTAATAAGTTTTAGTCATCTTCACTGTAACCAGGTTAAGTAATGTCTTCCCACTAAATTTGTTTCATTATATTCACTAATATTTAACAAATAACAGTCAATACACTTGGCTAATTTACCAAAAGTAGTAACTATTCATAAGAAACTATCCACTTTTATATAAAAGTGATTTTCTTGTTTCAACATGAGCACATATATAAAAGGGCATCATAGTATTGTATGCTTGTTCATCCCATCTGTTTCCTCTCTTCTAGTTGTTTTTTTTTTTTTTTGGGTGGGGGGAATGAAGCTTTGATTTACTCTATATAATGCAACAAAATACACAGGGAAAAATATTAAGAGTAAATATCAAAAGAAATCTAACATCTCTACACAAACCTTGCTCTGTTGTTTCAATTTTTTTCATTTTGCCTCAATTAGAAAGCTAATCTGTACAACTATTAATTTATAAAATGCACATGAATTAGATATGTTGTTTCTATCATTTAGGAGAGTCTCTAAACAATAACAGTATCAACTAATTAGCAAGAATTTCTAATATATTTATTTGGAACACTTCAAATACTCTTGGAAGCTGGACACCAGCAGTTCATGCCTGTAATCCTAGCTACTTGGGAGACTGAAAAGTGAGTATCACAGTTCAAAACCAATCCCAGGTAGGAAAATCCATTAGAACCTCATCTCCAACTAAACCCCAAATAGCCAGAAGTAAAGCTATGTCAACTGGTAAAATACTAACCTTGAATACCAAAATCCAGGGACAGTGCCTGAGTTCAAGCCCCAGGATCCACACATAAAAAACATTTTTTGTGATGTCCTATGTCACATACCTTTTTAAATAAGCTTTTATAATCTGGCACTATTGTTGAATAGAATCAAAAGACAGGATATTAGAGGCATTTTGAGCCTAGTCTACCCAATTATAACAGACAGGATGAAACAAAGGCCCAGAGGTTAACATGAAGTGAAGTTACATCATGGTACTAAAACAAACTGATCTACACCTTCTTTGCCCCCTCCCTCAGTCCTCTCCACAACACATTTCCTACCTTAATAAAGTCATTAGCTAGAAGTTCTACCAGCAGCATTTTCATCCAACAAACGCTTAGTATAAAAGACACTGGAGTTTATACAACAGTAACCAAAACAGAAATGGTATTGCTCTTTCAGGAACTCACATTCAACAGACATTTGCATAAAATAACGAGGTAATTACAAACTGTGAGAAATGGTATCACAGAGCATATACCTATGAGGACTTACTTTCAGCTGTGCTCTCAAGGGCACTCTCTTTAAAAAAGAAATGATATTTAAGCTGAGACCTTTAGACAGTCAGGGAAGCTGTGAGAGAGTCAAGAGGAATCCAGGAAGACAAAACATGTCTAGTTATTGAATGTTCAAATGGAAGCTCATTATTTAGTATAGCCAGCATTCCTTTTATGTTTGGTAAAGACTAAAATGAAGAGGAAAAATGTTTTTCCTATTCGGAATAGTCTATTTACCAGTCGACTTCCAGCAGCAGAATTGCCCGAGTTCAATTCAGTTTTGTATGCTAGGAATGCTAATCAAATGGAGCATTGTGTCTCCACCCCTCTTGTTGGTATGTACATGGTATTCTTTTATCATGTAAAAAAAATATGCAGTAATACCATACTGGCCCAATGTGCTTTGCTTTAAGAGAGGTTTGACTTTGCTTTAGAATCCTGATGTCACCTGTACATTGTGCAAAAGTTTTAAGTATGTTGATTTGTAAAAGTCCTATTTTGTAACAATACCTACATCTACGTACATTTTCAAAAAACGTGTCCATTAGTTAGATTACCATCATACACTTTCCCTCCTAGAAATTCAGCATTCCACTATACCATTTCCTCTAAAATTCTGTTCCTCTAGACCAGCAGCATTTGAATCTCAGTCACTCCACTGTCAGGCAGAACATTCAGAGGGCAAACCATGTGCACTCTCTGCACAGGCACTGAAAAATACATCTGTGAGTAAGATTACAGACCACAATGTGAAAATGCAATATGAAGAAGCTACATTGAGCTTAATTTATCTTCATCTCTGCAACCAGTAGTATCTAAGAAATCTGATTGGCTAATAGCCAATGAGCAATTTCTCACATATCACCACTACAAACTAACCACACAAGTGAAGCACTTTTTTTCTCCTTCAAATTATAACTAAAATGTCTCCTATCTCAATTTTTTTAAGATGATTACTTCAAAGAGGCAAGAATATTTAACAAGTTCAATTTGAATTACATAATCGGAGAGACTCAAAGTAGGCTTAGCTCAGATTATTATCAAATCGAATTAAAACTCCTATTAGTAAATAGTTTTTCAACGTGTCAAGTTCTGTACAAGTAAATGCTTTCAAAATTAAGCAATTAATTCCAGTATGGTTAATTTTTTTTGTCAACTAAAAGTCTTTTTTAAAAACCAAGAACAAAATGTCCCTTTTGTGAAAAGTACACTTAAATGACCATCTATCCACATACACACACACCCGGAAGAGATGATTTCAACTCATGTAATTTTTAAAATTTAATATCTGAAAGCTTACTTATTACATTCTTTTATGTGTGTGGCAATGTTTAGGTTAAAAACCACCCATAAACAGAACAAAATGTCTATTTTTAAAAGGTCATCTGATGAAACTGAAAATATATAAAACATGCGCTACTGAAAGACTCATTAGCTGAGTGCTGGTGGCTCATGCCTGTAATCCTAGCTATTCAGGAGGCTGAGATCTGAAGATCGCGGTTCAAAGGCAGCCATGGCAGGCAAGTCTGTAAGACTCTTATCTCCAATAAACCACTAAAACCCGGAAGTGGCGCTGTGGCTCTAGCTGTAGAGGGCAAGCATTGAGCTGAAGAGCTGAGGGACAGCTCCCAGGCCCAGAGTTCAAGCCCGACGACTGACACCCCCCCCCCCAAAAAAAAGACTCATTATTATACGAGATGCTTTAAAAATAAACAAGAAACTAGTTTTAGAATGTACAACTCCACATTCCTGAATCCCAGTAATCCTGAATTAGGAAATGCTTTATTAAAAGCTTTGTTAAAGGAATACTCCAAGCTCATTTGCAAAAGTCTACCACACTTATCTCTTATCCTCAGAGGCAAAAACCTGTAGCAGGAAACGGTACTTTTATGAAAATTTGTAGTTTCTTCTTACTGGCTCAATTATCATTCTTGAGCTCACCCGATTCTCATAAGAGAAGGAAGATGGGTTCAAATCGGTTAAAAAGAAAAAAAGAAACTGGGCAAGACTGACCTAGACCTCACTCTGGGAACTTTTTCCGCAAGGCGTGTGTAGTAAATCCATAGGAACGAACTGGCCAGCCCTTATTGCATTCAAAGTTCCAGCTGGATCTAAGCACAATTTAAATCCCTGAATCTGTAACTCACAACGTTAACCACAAGATAAAAGCATCTTCGGAGGAATACCATTGTGTAGGACACCGACAACAAGGGCATGTTCTTTTTGAAAGTTTTCGTTTCGTTTGTGGCTACAGCTCCGAAAGGCTGTGCGTGTCCCACGAAGGAGTCGTTCAGGGTGTAACTTATCCTTCCTAATCAAAGATGACACCGATCGTCTTACTTCCTGTGGGTCTGGGTGTGGTTGGAGAGAGACAGTTACTTCGCAGCCATCCTCCGGGGTGTGGACGAGTCTGCACGCAGGTCGCGCGCGTCGCCCGACTGAAATCCGTGATTGCGGACCGCGCGGGCCTAGGCTTCTGGCGGCGAGGACATGGAAACGCAAGCTCCCACCGGCGTGCGGGCGGCGGGGTTCGCGGTTACCGGGCGGTTACCACTATCGCGGCTGCCGTCGCTCCACGCTCCGGCGCGTCCCCCCCTCCGGGAAGCCTCCCGGGGGCGAAGCGGCAAACTCGCAGCCCCGCAGGCAGTGCGGTCAGGAAGCCGGGCGGGGGCTCGCATCCTCCCGACACCCCCTCGCACGCCCCACGACGCGCGCCGGGCGAGGAGAAGAAACCAGAAGACGCCCCCAGACCCCGGCTCTGCCGAGCGCCGCCGGGGTGGGGGGGGGCCCCGGCGCGGGGGGTCACCCGCACCGGACCAACCCAAGTTGGCCTCAACGCGGCCCCCGGAACTCGGCCCCGGCGTCGCCCCCGGCTTCCCCCGGCCCCGCCGCCCGCCGTCCCAACTTCCCGCCCAGCCAGCGGCCGCCGCCCGGCCCCGCGCGGTCCCGGCCCGGGCCCCGCCGCCGCCGCCGCCGCCGCCGCGTGCGGGATGGGGGAGGGGCCGCCGCCTCCGCCCGACGGGCCCGGGAGAACAAAGCGGCGGCGCCCGCCGCGCCAACAACTTTTTTCGATGTCCGCTCCGCGCTCCCCGAGGCGACTACTTACAGAGGCGGGCTCGGCCGGTCGTGTGAAACTCCGCACCCGCCAACGTCGGAGTCCTCCCGACCAGGAGCCAGCGAGGCTTCAGACGCCGGGCGAGAATCCCGCCCGCCGCCGGCGCCCCTTCCTCCCTCCCACCCTCCCGTCCCGTCCTGAAGCTGAAGCTGAAGCTGGAGGGCGGGGGGCGGGGGCGCACGGGGGCGGGGGCGCGCGGGCGGCGCGCGGCATGCCGGGAATTGTAGTTCTCGCCCCCCCCCCCCCCCCCCCGCCGCCGCCTCGGGGCGGGGGTGGGAGGTCGCGCTCCTCGCAGCCCAGGGGAAGGGGCGGGGGCGGTGACAGCTCCGGGTGTTGGAGGGTTCGCGGCTCGTCCGTGAGGTCCCGACGTGGGCGCGTGGGGCGTTCTGTGGATCCAGTCACGCCTGGGACTTGAACCCCAAGAGTGCGACTGCTCCGCGGCCAGGAGCAACTTGTAGTGGGGACTTGAAGCTGTGCAGCGCGGAGGGCAGCGTCCGCCCGCGACGTCCAGTCCTGCCGCGTTGCCGCCTCCCTGCCGCGCTGTCCTGGCATCCCGGAGCCACGCCACAGACACGGCCGGAGCCCTCGCCTCTGGCTCCGTGGACCGAAGTGTCTGCGTTCACCGTGCTCCGCGTTTCCGCCTGGTCCGCCGTTATCCTCGCGGGTGGACCCCTGCCACCGAAGGGGTGTGCAGGCAGCCGGCGATCGCCGGACCTCGGCCACCCCGGGCGTGGAAGCAGGGTGACCCTGCGGGTCAGCGGGGGGGGGGGGTGTCGCAAGGCTGTCATCCGTGAAGAAAAGCCGTGGTCGCCGCAGCCACACCGTTCTCCCCGGCAATGTTCTGCCCCCGAAGTACTTAAGTAAAATGCATGGAAGCCATCGGAGGTATTGGACTCAACCATCGCTGGGCTCTAGGCTTAAAGGTCAAGAGGACAGCTTCTGAGAAGAGAAAGAAAATAAATCGAACTGTGCCCCTATTTTTTTTGTACTAACTCTCGACCTTCATAGATACGTGAACATTTGCAGTGAAGAAAGAAGTTGATCAATTGATTGTTAATTGATATTGATTGGTTGATTGATATGATTGATTGCGGTGGTAGGAATTGAACCCAGGGCCTTGTGCATGCTAAACACATACTCCACCACTAACTGCATCTACAAACACTCAGAGTAGAATTTTGAAATAAGTTATATTAAAGATGGGATGGTAAAATTGTGTATGATGTTAATCTACTTGAAAACTATTTTTAAAAGGACATTTCTGACCTTCACAGGAATTGGAAGCTGTTAATATCCAGCAGCATCTGATTTAGTTTCATTCTTTTTTTTTTTAAGTCGTTACCATTCAATCAGTTATGCATCTTGATTAATGTCAACCCTAGCCATTCTTTTACCATAAGATGGAAAGTAGATTCACTCCTATATCCTCTTTTTAAAGAACTTCCTTTCTATCCCTTCACTCTCCTCCTACTTTTTTTCCTTTCAATTCCCAGCAGAAATGTTAGCCTAGCCCCAGATATTCTGTTCTTGCAAGATTTCCAGGATCTTGTTGGAGTAGTTTGCAACCAATCTCAGCTCATAATTGACTTCCATTTTCTTTTGGGGTTCTTAAAGAGATGCAGGTACACTTCTTAGAAGTAACTTGTCTAAAGGAATTCAATTGTGATTTTTTTTAACTGAGATTTAAGTATTTGTGTCTGAGTAAGAATAGATACACATTTACATATATTACACTTCATTGTATTCCTACCATTCTGCTGCTCTTTAAAAATAAAATTGTATTCCCTGCTTTAGTAGGGAACACATTTAAGCATAAGACTATCTTTGTACTTGTAGTAGGTCTCTAGCTTGGCATGAAGGATAGTTTCCACAAGACTTCCATACCTACTTTAAGAGCATTACAGAGATAAAGATAAAGTTTCATAAGTAATGTATTATATCCTAAAGAGAAAATGTGATCTTAATGATCAAGATGGGAAGGAATACTCTTTGGTGATTTTTTTAATGGAAATAAGAACTTACAATCTTTCCTTTCTTCAGCAGCAGTTATGAAGCTTCTGTCTACTGTTTACTGCCCCATACTTAATGACGTACGCATAATCTTTCACAGATGTTCCTGAATATAAACAAAGATGGTTGACGCTGTTGTAACTTGAAGATAGCAGAGCTACCGATGCAGATTCCTAAATGAATGATTTGCTAAGAACCAGCTAGAAAAAGAAATTTCCTTAAACTCCAATTTTGGGTTTTGTTTGTAGAATGTGGTAACTGGAAATGTAATTTGAGTTTCTTTTTCCGTGATCATTGAGATGATATTTGAATGTTTCAACACAGAGTTACTAAAATAAGGGAGACAATGCTTCAGGATCTAGTGTAGACACACTAAGTGTAGTCTTCAGAACACTCCCCTGCTTAGCATAATGCTGTATGGCTGTACTCCTAGCACTTAGGAAGCTGGGACAGGAGGCTCAAGGCTGGTCTCACTGTACTCTGAGATCCTATCTCAAATAATAACAATAATCCTCACCCTGTCACAGTTTTTAACACCAGACCCTAGTCAGGGTCTCAAGCTGTAGTGCTGCAGTTAGTTGGTCTCCTTTGAGTGTAGCTCAGACTGTTACATCTGGTAACACATTCATGATAGTTACGTACATCACTGTCTTTGATTTGCAGGCTGTGAGTAATTGTTCTGTATCTCATAGCCTTTGATAGACAATTCTCATCTAATTTGTTACTTTTCATTGAGTGTACATTAAGATCTACTGGGTTCTCTCTTTCAATTTACCCCCCCCTTTTTCCCCAATGAGTTTGTGGAAAACCATGTCTTGTTTTCATTTACTTATCATGTACCATAGTGCTAAGTAAATTTTTATTGAATTGGTGAATTTTTTTCAATGTATCTTGATTGGACTGGTTAGACTAGTAGTCCTAAACTATTACATGTTGAACTCAGCAACTGCCTACTAGCCTACTAACCATTTTTCTGCTTGGATAGGAAGGCTATGAATAATAGCTGTCATTAGTTGAAAACCAGTCTCGAGTCAGACACAGTTACTCAGTTATACAGCTTCCCTGTCAATTCTACATAATTTATCTTGTTAAAATTTGCAGTTATTTAGCTATATATAATAACATTCATTATAATTTAATAACTACATTTTAAATTTGTTATATTTTGTTTCACTTAATTTTGTGTGTAATAACATACCCACACATATATAGAATATGTATATGTTGAGCATATATTACATATATGTATATATGTTCTACAGAACACATATATGTCACTAACACATATTATTATATATGAAGTACATAATATATAACACAAAATTCATATAACATGCAACACATAAGCTATATATGTGATTATATATATGGTTATATATATGACATAGTCACAAAGGTATGATATGAATTTTTTACTTAAGAAAAAAAGATTTACTTAGAAAAAAAGATAGAGATTACTGCATATACTCCAGCTAGGCTTTAACAAGGTAAAAGTGAACATTCAGGCAACTTGTACTTTTAAAAAATAGGTATCTCTCCTACCATCAATAATTCTTGTTTATCTTTGTGGCGCTGAAATAGGTTTCTCCAGGAAATAGAAAGTAATTCATAAATGTGCTCATAGGTGTTTAGAATACCTTTGATCTATGGAGTAATTATCAGGATTATTCAGGATTTCATTTGAATATTCATTTTAAAATTCTTTTGGAAAATGTAAACTAGTTATATTTAAAAATACAACTGAAAGGGGCTGGGAAGTTGGCTCAGTGGTAGAGCGCTTGCCTTGCATGCCAGAGGCCCTGGGTTCGATTCCTCAGCACCACATAAGCAAAAAGAAAAAAAAAGCCGGAAGTGGTGCTGTGGCTCAAGTGGTAGAGTGCTAGCTAGCCTTGAGTTGAAATGCTGAGGGACAGTGCCCAGGCCCAGAGTTCAGGCCCCAGGACCGGACCCAAAAAAAAAAAAATACAACTGAAACTCCTTGAGAAAAACAGCCTAGATGTCAATGTCATCACTGCAATAAAGTTCCACTGAGTATATTTCAATATGTATCAAACTCATGTGATATTAGTAAATTCATTGACTATTTAAAGCACATTATCTCTGTGCCCTGAACTTGCTCTGAAGGATGACAGCATGGCTGATACCTTTCAAATATACTACATTGCACAAGGACTAAGCAGAGCTAAAGGCATTCAAAACTCAGAGATGCAAAAAAGAGATTTCTACCTTGATTTATCTGCCATAAAACAAAGCAAGATTGCCCTAGGAGGAAGCTGACCCCAGTTTTCCTCCACCTGAACAAGAAAGAGTATGATGGCTCCCATGGGAGGCAAAAGTAACAAGATGAGTTTGGACTAACAGGCCTTACTAGGTCATCCCCATCTTCCATAACTTCATTCACAGATTTCTAATCTTGATATTCAAAGGCAGTTAAACAGAATATATATTTAGTTTAAAGATCTAATTCCCCTCCTGGGATCATTTCAAAGTTTTCTTGCATGATTAACACACAGGGGACTTTCCTATGCTGGCTCAGGTAAGCTATTGTGATCCTTTTGTAATTGGTTGCTGCAAATCTCCAGATTAGGGAGAAACTGACTAGTTTCAAAGTTTGGTTATATGGTATCAGGTTCTGGCAAGTCCATTATGTTTTGGCTGATTCAAAAAGTGGCCCCTATAACTGGTTAACAAGTTCAACCCTTTTCCTTATTTCCTACAGCATAAACTGTGAGTTTGTCCAATTCTTTCTTACTCTCTTTCTATCCCACCCTTTTCTTTTTTTCCTTTCCTTTCCCTTTTCCCTTTCTTTTCCTGTCCTTCCTTCCATCCTTTCCTTCCTTTCTTCCTCCTTCCCTCCTTCCCTCCATCTCTCCTTTCCTCCTTCCCTCTGTCCCTTCCACCTTTCTCTCCCTCCCTCCCTCCCTCCCTCCCTCCCTCCCTCCCTCCCTCCCTTCCTTCCTTCCTTCCTTCCTTCCTTCTTTTTCTTTTTCTTCCTTTTTGAGAGAGTCTTACTCTGGAACCCTCCTCTTGCCTAGGCTTCCTGAGTGTTTGGATTATAGTCATACACTGACTAACTTATTGTACTTGACTAACTTCA